GAATTGATGATAGATTAGTGGCTTATTATGTGAGACGTTTAGATAAATTTGAATGCCATATTAAAACTTACAGTACACTATAGTGGGAGTTGGCTTGACAAAGGAACGTTGAGGAAAGTAGCCGATGGTGAAATACTAACATCAAGCGCAGAAGAGAGAAAAACTTAAAACAAAAGATAATGTTTGAAGTGGTTAAAAGATTACTTAAAAGATAGGTTTGGTTAACAAATGGTTGTGACTGTTACGAAGCAGTGTGTGAACCGTTGGGACTTTTAATTACGAAGCAGAGGAACATTGCTCTTTTGTCTACTTGTAGTTTTTTTAATTAATTTAAATTAAATAAATTAATTAGAGAAATAACAAGAAGGATATTTTAGTAATTTGACTTTTAAGTTATGGGCTTCCTACTTTTAATATAATATAGAAGATTTATTGTTCTACTTTAGCGAATTCTTGAAAATATACTTCTATGATATAATTTCACAGTAGTTTCATGTATTTAGGTAATAAAATATATAACTTGTATATTGTTATGTCGAGGAAGAGGCAAACCCGAAAATAAAGAACACCAAATTTTAACGTGGGAAGCCCTTCAAATCGAAGGTAAAAACCAAGGGATCACAAAGATCCAAAAAGGTCCACTATAACAATAAGTGGGTTATAAAAGTTCTCCAAATTGGCTACACAACAAGTGCCAAACACGGAGCAACAATAGCAACAAGAGCAACAACTGATCAATTGAAGAAAGAGGAGAATCCACAAAAATAAAGCTGCTGTCCGAGGCTCGAAATCAGATGCTATGGGCCCCCAAATCCGATCCCCACCGTTATAATCCAAGATCAAGATGTTACGAACACTCAGTCAAAATTTCTGCCCGATCCAACGGTTAACGAATCGAAAAAAGTGATTCGAAATTGGCTGGTCGGAATAAAAATCTACAGCAAAACAAATACTTTTCTTCTCTCTTCTCTCTTGACGAAAGCTCTCTCAAAGACCACTATTATGTGCTTAAGTCTTTCAAAGACTTGTATCAATGAGCATAGAATAATTCTCCAAGGTTGTCCTATGTATAGATCATGAGTGGTGCTTTCTCTTAAAGCCAAAACCCACTCAAAATAGGAAAAAAAAAACGAATCCAATTCCGAATAGGAATGGAAACCAAAAGAGAATAGGATTAGGCCATTGGGCCTTTGGCTGGACAACATGGGCATGTGCCCAACAAACTCCCCCTCCAGCCAAGGGGCCAAATGTGTCTTCAAGTAGAGGAACTATTGACAGGCTTCATGCCTGCCAATTTTCTGCAAAACGCATGCTTATCTGCAAGCTTAACTACGAAGTCCTCAGGCTGCTCCATAGAAATCTCCTCATTTAAATCACCATGAAGAAAAGCAGACTCGACATCCATCTTCCCAATCTCTAAATCTAGACTTGCAGTTAAGCCTAGAACCACACGAATAGAAGACATCTTCACAACAGGGGAGAAAATTTCATCATATACAACAAGCATATTACTTGTGGAATGTTAAAATTAATCAGTTAATTGTACATGCACTGATTAGTATATGCAAAAGAAATTATGTAAGAATTCTTAGTTGGTTTGTGCATCACATAGCTTGATTGATTACTGTTGATGTGTTCGAGTAGTCAATATATGACATGAACTAAATAAGCTAAGATATGTATTTTTACAACAAAGGGAGTTATAATAGAAAGAGTGAAGTTAGAGAGGATTGTTGTGATATTTGAGTATAAACCCCTTAATGCATTTGAGGTAGTGGAGCTTCTTTTATAGTGGTGCATTCTTTCGCTGTTTATTTTTCTTTTCTGAAAATTTTGAGGCCTTTATTAGAACATTTTTTTATGTCGCTCCTTGATTTGAGTTCGAAATATAAAAATTAGGAGAGCTACAATGGAGATAAAGAATCTCCATGATCCAGCAATTTTATCACCAAAATGGTGACTTTTCAGAGAAGAAAGGCGGAGAAAAAGGTACTTTTTGCAAAAGTAAAAGAAGGCAGGGAAAAATCTTTGAAAGATGACAGTCATTAAAAGTCACGTGTGAGATCATGTGAAGAGGAAAATGTAAAAATAATGTGCATATAAAGAAAAAGTGCTCGGCAAGGGTTGCAAAATATTTTGGATAGGTGGATAATAAAAAGAGAATTGGGTAAATTTTGGTCATTTACTAAACTGAATGGCTATGTGATGATAATTTCTCTTTTTATTTTTTATCAGAAAATTAAAATATTGTAGGTGCGTGCAGTTTTCCACTTCACAAATAAATAAATAAATAAATAAACTATTTTGCCTTATGTGTGCAATCCCTAAAAGTTGCCTTTTCTATTTAGAGACCTAAACCAAGTGTCGTACCTGTTGAACACATCGAATTTAGTAGATAACAATAAAAACAGCCCAGTAAAATCCCTTCATTGGGATCTGGGGAGGGTAAAGTAAAATCCCGCCATTGGGATCTAGGGAGGGTAAAGTATACACAGACCTTACCCTACCCCGAAGGAGTAGAGAAGCTGTTTTCCGGGAGACCATCGGCTCAGAGACAATAGGTCTGTGACAACAACAGAAACCAGAAAAATAATGTCAGCAACGTGAGAGACATCAAATAAATGAAAAAGCAATAACACAAATACTATGCAAAAGTGTGAAACACAACATAAACCGTTAGCAGTCCTAGACAAACACTAATAGACTAGCCGGTATAAAGAGGAAAATCGCTCGACTGCTCCTTAACCTACAACCCTAATGCTCAACCTCCACACCTTCCTATCAAGAGTCATGTCCTCGAAAATATGGAGCCGCGCCATGACCTATCTGATCACTTCGCCCCAATACTTCTTAGGCCGCCCTCTACCTCTTCTCGTATCTGCCAAAGCCACGTGCCCGAACTATCTAAGTCGCGCTTCCCGCATCTTGTCGTCCACCGGAGCCACGCCCACCCTCTCCCGAATATCTTCATTCCTAATCTTATCCAGCTTAGTGTGCCCGCGGATCTCATTTCTGCTACATTCTTCTTCTGGACATGATGTGAATTCTTGACTGACTGACACTCAGCCCCATACAACATGGCCGGTCTAACCACCGCTCTATAGAACTTACCTTTAAGTTTTGGTGGCACATTCTTGTCATACAAGACTCCAGATGCTAACCTCCATTTCATCCACTAACCCCCAATACGGTACGCAACATACCCGTCGATCTCCCCATCTCCTTGGATAATTGCAAGGTACTCATCTCCTTGGATAATTGCAAGGTACTTGAAACTTTCTCTCTTGGGGATGACTTATGAGTCAAGCCTCACCTCCACGCACGCTTCCCCCGTCACGTCGCTGAACTTACATTCCAAATACTCCGTCTTAGTCCTACTCAACTTGAAACCATTAGACTCCAAGGCCTGCCTCCATACCTCCAGTCTCCCATTAACGTCGCCTCACATCTCATCAATCAGAACTATATCATCAGTGAACAACATACACCATGGCACCTCCCATTAGTCTTCCTCTGCGTCTGCTGTCAGTAAAAAACCGAAAAAATCGAACCAACCCGACTATAGAAGTAGCTATTTAAAATTTATTATTTCACCTATATATGTATATTTTATACAAAGTTTCTAAAATTTAATGATACATGTTAATCATTTGCACTTTTAGTCTAGTTCTTTGCTGTTATAATAATCTAGTTCTTTGCCTTTACATTCTAGTTTGATTGGTAGTTTTCTTTTGCTGAGTACAAGAATCTATTAATACTAATTTATTTTCAATTGAGTCCTTAAATTATTCATCACTATTTGATTCAATTATCATCAATATATCCTGGTAAATGATAGATTTCTCAAAGAGTAATTGGTTTAATGGTGTTACGCTGAAAATGTAGTCGCCGGAATATGTGTTTGGTAGTGTATGTCTCATATTTAAGAAAAAATCGATAAATAACCGGAAAAACCAGAAAATAAAAAAACCGACATAAACCGAATCGAGAAAAAACGACTTAATTGGTTTGGTTTCAATATTCAAACTTATTTGGTTTAGTTTCTTTTTAGGGAAAAAACGATCCAAACCGAACCGTGAACACCCCTACTAAGATGTGTTTTACCCCTAAATGAAAACTAGGAATTTCAATTTAATTTTTTCCTGAGGCGAATCCTAAATTTAAACTTTATTGAGTTTAACCTTTAAGGTTCTTAGCATGAACTCATTACATTTTAAAGTTAGGAGTTCATATCTAATATTCGTCGCAATTTAATAAATTGTTGCATATAAATTTATACTCCACATTCGTAGTAGATGAACACGGTGAATCCGCCCCTGATTGTTCCCCATTCAAGTTATTGGGGTATATCTGCATTGGTTGAGTGCTAGAAGGGAATCGGTTTCATCTGCTACGCTTTATGCGCCTAGTTTTCTGGCCAATCCTGTTAAATGAAGGACTGTGTTGAAAGGTGCAGATCTTGGTCTTCTAGACCTGAGCATGTTTTTCATAGTAAATCATTTGCTAGGGGAGAAAGAGATATTAGATGGGTAGCTATTGTTGGCCCACTCAGGAGTTGCATGTTTCAGAGCTAGAACACTTTCTATAAGTAAGCTAAGTAATCCATAGTTGAGGAGCAATGTGCACTCTCAACCCGCCAGTTGTCTGATATTCAATTAGGAACATTGATTGACAAATTTTTTCAGAAATTTTACCCGAATATGTTTCCATAAAATTTGAACTTTATATTGTTAGATCTTAAAACTTAAGATTTTAGTTTACAGTTTGCTCTTCTCAAAATACCATTTTGTTTAGAATTTAAACTATCAAACAGTAACGGAATAATGTGAACCAAAATCCAACTGCGTTCCGCTCTGAATGCGGATTCTCCGGATGGGGGAAGAGGTAGGTGGGGACTGTGGATTCCCTTAGCTAGAAATAATTACATTTCCAATATGAACTTAACCTATAGGAGCTGCTCCTTTTAATGCAGACTAAAGAATAATATCAAGACTGAAACAGATAAAGAATAATGAATGATTCAACAAGCATAAGCCTATAACATAACTTTCTTTTTTCTATCTTTCACTTACTATGTTTCCTTATATCTATTGTCTGCTACACTTGGCTTTGTTCCAAAATATGTATAAATAATATGCTGCTAAGACATACCGAATACAAGAACTACTCGGTAAGTGCTTACCAAAAATTTTTGGGCAACAGAGTTGATTTCAACCCTCTTTCCTTCCAAGGGCTCCGATAAAATCTCCAGGATTTATGCAACTTCAAGTTAACAGCAGGAACCTTACGCGCAATGGCTTGCCAGATCATTTGAACAGCATCATTATCCTTAGAAGGATATCTATACTCGAAGAGATTTTCAACCTCCTTTAACCTAGCCCACATTCTAGTCCACTCTTCTTTCTTAATACTCCTAATGAGGTTTATGAGGAATTTTTCTTTGAGAGCATCTGAGGTACGAACGAATATGCAGAACTCTGAATAGTCAAGAATATCTTCATAGGGGAGCTCTATTTCATCACTAATGATGACTGGTACACAGTGACTAGCAATCGCATCAAAGAGGCGATTCGATGAAGGAGTGTCACCAGCAATGTTAAGGCAGAACTTGGAGGAGTGCATTCCCTCTGTAGCTTGTTTTATACCATCCTTTTGAACGCTCCCAAAAGAGAAGTGAACATCTTTCTCATCTTTCAACATATAGAATAATTCTTGCCTGATAAACCCACCCTAAGGATGAGAAACAAGAGTCAGAAATACAAATCTAGAGAACATAAACATAGAGGAGGAACTAGAAACATGTACAAGGAAGAGCAAAGCATAAGAAGGTAAAGCTTGACAATCATGAATCTAAAGTTCAAGTCTTCAAGAGACATGGAAATGCAAGGAATGGAGGGGTAACACTGCTGTAATTTAACCAAAATATTTGTCGAATTAAAGGGCTTTAGGGCGTGATTATGGGTATTAATTCATACTATCAGATCACAGTGTTAATCAAATTGTTTCAGGCTTTCACTATTGTACACATTACCCACCGAGCTCTGGTAAGAACCACTCTTCTCAATACTTTAAACCCAAAAAAAGGCTTAAAAACTACTCTTCTCAATACCCACATCTACATATTGATTGATGGCATATAGTGAGAGGCTTCTTATTCACAACGCGTACACTGAAATTCATTTGAGAGTTAACCTGGTGAATCATCAAGAAAAATGTTTGAGAGGGTAAACATACAAGAAACTAGTCCAGATTAAACTTTGCAACATTTTGATATTAAATTAACCATGTTTACTACTCTGCTACTAAGCTGAAGTCCAGATAGTAAAAACTGGATGTGAATAATTTCAGTTGATCAACAAAGATCATGTCGTCTGCACCCTACGCCTCATTGCACTTCCAAAGATAGAAGAGAAAAAAAAGATCTTCACAAAGAAGGAAAGGGCATAAGCTAACACTTATTCGGATAAGGTGTTTCTTGAAAGTCAGAACATCAAAGAAACAAGGTGGGCTGGTTCCTTGTGTCATCCATGTTCCAGTATGGTTCGACGAAATCCTCAATAAATACTCAGTTACCACTGTCTAACAAAGGCATTTTCAAATGGGCTAAAAGTTGTGTTTCATGGAAGAGTTTCTTCATCATCTCCCTATAGCACCCAATTCCACCTGGCTCCTCATTGTAGTATAGTCTAACTCTTCCCTATCTCTGTAAACAAGATGCACACAGTCACAAGACACTAGTGTCAACAGTTTCCGGAACAAATGTTGTGCAGTAAAAAGCAAACACATTATTCCGAACAACAGAAATACGTCCAAATAAAAAAATTCCTTCTATCTTTCTCCTAGTTCTGCCTTATTTTGCCACACACAAGTGAACCTAGATGATATTGACATAGTACTGATCTACAAATAAAATAGAGACAAATAGCTAATAAATGAATAAAATAACTTACATCTTTTCTGTATATAGCTCCTTGGAAGTAAAGAAGAATTGGTCGACTATCAAAACCAGAAGTGTCATTGTAATAATTCCTGATTACATGCTTATAAGGTGCAATTATGTCCTTTTCAACATTAGCTACACTTGGAGGATACCTTCCAAAATCAGAAAGAATAAACATTGCAGGCCAAAGCTTCACTCTTGCATCCAAAAGACTATTCGGATGGTGGGCGACAATAATATGGTCTTTCCCCCCTGATCTTTTCCATTCCTCTTGAGCAGTTAAAAAGGTAACCATTTTTTCCTGTAGTAAGGTATTCATGCTTGTTTTTTGGTGTGGCTTAAGCCTTGAAAACCGATTATAGCTGATTGACGAAAAGAATGGTACAAAAATGACATCAGCTTCACTTGAATTATACACTCTTATGGCACTTCTACCATTCAAATTGTCAGTAATTTCAGAATAGAGAAGATCCAACGTCAACCAATATTCTATACTGTGCTGCAAGTTTAATCCACCTGGATACTCAGGAACCTTATTGCGGATATTGGGCCAAATACTGTTTTTTCCCTCAGCCTTCCATCCTAAGAGTTCAAAATGAAACTGAGGAGGCAGGTCATACATAAAAACTTTAAGAACTTGGTTACTAGGATTGCACTTAAACAAGTTATACTTTTTTGGTGCATTATTATTATCAACTAATATAGGGACCTCACCATCTCTCTGACTCCTAGACCGGGAATTCCCATCATCTGCCAAGGCAAGAAGCTTGGAGTTGGGTAGTATATTCAGATCAACAAAGTGAGGCCGACCAGCTGAACGCAGCACAAAGGACCAAGACAACATGAACAAAACAGATGTAACCGCAAACAAACAAAACAAGGATTTTCGGCCAAAAATCCCCATTGAATGTGCATTTCTCTCAACCATGTCAATGCTGAACCAGTAACAAACACCTAATACAAACTCATCATTTCTCCATACTCCAATATAGGCTTGGAAACAGGTAGATTTTGAATCAATCACAATTAGCCAGTCTCCCCAGAGCTGATGCAACAAATGAGTGGCGAACAAAGCAATGCAAATTAGGCCCAAAAAATCATTAAGATCACATTGATAAAACCAAGAACCAGCTAATCATTCATTCTATCTGAAACCACACCATCCAAACCTATACCTACATAATCTATCTCAGAACAGCTCACACCGAAAATCTCACCTTTTTCTTATTTCCCAACATCCGCAAGGGACAGATAGTAAACAGACGCACATTCCATTAACCAGTGATCAGAATTATCTAATGATGCTCTTTCAATTAATAAGAGTGGACCAGGAAAAAAAAGATGGGTGTTTGAATATCAATGACACAGATATCTTACACGCAGCTGAATGTGGGCAACAAACAACAAAAGGCCAAAAAATTGGGAATCCAGATGATATTTGATTCCAATGTATAGAATGAGCGTAAAAAAACCAAGATGAAACGTACCCACAAAACAGAGGAACAGGGATTAATTTGAAGAGAAAACAACGGAAAGAGAGAGTAGTTGCACCAAATATAGAGGGGTTTCCTCTTGTGTTCTATTCCCTTTGTTTTCTCTGCAGAAAAAAGAAAGAAAAAGAAAATGCTAAAAAGGGTAAAAAGGAAAAGTAGTTTGTAAGAAGCGAAGGAATAGGGAATGTCTAAAGAAGCGGGCTTGTCGCTCTGTGTGGAACTGAGGGAGTTGTTTACTGTTTTTATTGTTAGTTTATTATTACAACCTTCACATGTAGTTTGAGCTTTATTTCCTAATATGTAATCTTAAAAATACTCCCTGCGGTCCAAAATAAGTGATTTTTTTGGATGTTTTCACACAAATTAAGAAATTCATCTTTTAACATTAATTAGCAATGGAATTGACCATATTAACCTTTACTATCTCACATAAACACTCCTAACACATATTCCAACACCATTTACTTCAAGGACAATGTAGGAAAAAAATAATTAATTCATTCTTAAAATCTGGAAAAATCACTTATTTAAGGCCAAAAAATCACTTATTTTGGACCGAAGGGAGTATTTCTTATTATAGTAATAATGTAGCTGTTCCATTGGTTTTGTACTATGCTTTTGAATTTTCGTTTTAGGTTTTGGCGCTATAAAATTGGTGTCCTTTTTTATTGACCGTTACTGTATATCATATTGTTAGTTTCGTATCACAACAATGACAACAACAATAACCTAGTAAAATCTTATAAGTGGGGTCTGGGGAGTATAGTATGTACGCAGACCTTACGCCTACTCCGAGAGAGTAGAGAGGTTGTTTCGATAGACCATCGGTTCAAGAAGACGGAAAGAGACAATATATCAGTAACATCAACAGAAATCATAGAAATAATAACAACATCTTAAGAACCAGAAAAAAAATAAAAAAACAATAACAATAACCAGTAAATAAGATCCGACACTATGAAAAACGGAAGAGTAGTGTGAACACAACATTAACCACTAGCAGTCAAAGACAAAATCCTAACAGGCTAGTATCTCACTGGAACAAAGTGGGAATATGCTCAATTACCTCCTAACCTACAACTCTCTAATACTCGACCTCCATATCTTCATATCAAGCGTCATGTCCTCGGAAATCTAAAACCACGCCATGTCTGCCTCATCACCTCCCTCCAATACTTCTTAGGCCACCCTCTACCTCTTCTCGTACCCGCCAAGGCCAACCGCTCATACCTCCTAACCGAGGCACTCTGGGCTTCTCCTCTGTACGTGCCCGAACCATCTGAGCCTCGCTTCATGCATCTTATAATCCATAGGAGCCACGCCCACTTCTCCCGAATATCTTCATTCCTAATCTTATCTATCCTAGTGTGCCCACACATCCACCTCAACATCCTCATTTCTGCTACTTTTATCTTCTGGATATGTGGGTTCTTAACTGGCCAATACTCAACCCCGTACCACATGGGCGGTCTAACCACCGCTCTATAAAACTTACCTTTGAGTATCGACGGCACTTTCTTGTCACATAGGACTCCATATGCTAACCTCAATTTCATTCACCCCAACCTTATACGCTGTGTGACATCCTCGTCGATCTCCCCATCCCCCTAGATAACCGACACAAGACACTTGAAACTACCTCTCTTGAGGATGACCTGTGATTCAAGCCTTACGTCCATGCCCGCTTCCCTCGGCTCGATGCTGAACTTGCCCTCCAGGTATTCCGTCTTAGTTCTGCTCAACTTGAAACCCTTTGACTCAAGGGCCTGTCTCCAAGCCTCCAGCCTTTCGTTAACACTGCCTGGCGTCTCATCAATCAGAACTATGTCATCAGCGAATAACATATATCATGGTACCTCTCCTTGAATATGGTGTGTCAGTACGTCCATCACCAGGATAAATAAGAACAGGTTGAGTGCAGATCCTTGGTGTAACCCCATAACAACTAAAAAATGCTCCGAGTCGCCTCTCACTGTCTTAACCCGAGTCTTAGCTCCATCATACATGTCGTTGATCGCCCTAATGTAAGCAACCGACACACCTTTTTCCTCCACGCATCTCCAAAGAACCTCTCTAGGGACCCAGTCATATGCTTTCTCCAGATCAATAAACACCATGTTCAGATCCTTCTTCCTATCCATGTACTGTTCCACCAACCTCCTAATAAGGTGGATAACATCGGTAGTTGAACGACTCGGCATGAACCCAAATTGGTTGTCAGATATAGACACCGTCCTCCTCACCCTCACTTCTACTACCCTCTCCCAAACTTTCATGGTATGACTTAGCAACTTGATACCCCTATAGTTGTTATAAATCTTGATATCACCATTGTTCTTGTACAATGGTACCACCGTACTCCCCCTCCACTCATCTAGCATCCTCTTCATTCTAAAAGTAACATTAAACAACCCAGTCAGCCACTTCAATCCTACTCTATCCACAGTATTTACAATGTGCTTCTGAAGGATAACTTTTGCTGGGTAAAATGCAACTTCCATCATTAATAGTTTATACCATACAATTAGTTAGTCTCATATTCTAACAGCATCACTGCAAGAAAATTGTAAGTTTTTCACATTGTCTTTTGGTTTTCGATACGCACTGATTCAAATTCACAAAACATAAGGTAATGGAAGGGGAAGTGCTCCATACTAAAAGTTTCTCCATTCATTAGGTCGAAGTAAGGAATATCTAATTAAGAGCGGAAGAATCTTATTTATCCATCACACTCTGTTTACCTCGAAAAATACGAGTAACAATTAAATTTGGTTTATGGTTTTAAAGATACGTGATTTAATTCAATACCAATTACTAATCAAGAAATATGAAGTAAAAATGAAAGAGAAAGGTGAATCAAACCAAAGTTACTCAACAGCAGCGACCTCGAGGTAGCCTTGGTATAATAAGAACAAGTACAAAAGCAAAGTAAGAACAACAGAGCTAAAGGACAATGCTGATGAAAATCAGGCGAAAAAGGTAGACTATATACTATTCTCAGTGATCAGATGATCTTACAAATGATTGGTGTTCCCTTTTTATAATAGGGGAACCCTAAATAAGGAATATTTCTATTTACAGTAGGAAATATTCTTGTTACAGTTGTCTAACCGCCTAGTACGGAATTGTACGATCTTATTCCCGTATTTGTGCCATGATCTTAGGGACGTGGCAGGAATATAGCTTGCTCTAGTACAAATCCATAATGGTACTATTTCGAGGTCGAGCACACTTGGCCTCGGTATTCCTCGAACTCCTGCCTCTGGGCATTACACTCTGTCTTCAAGCTCGAGTCTGGTCCACCGATTTCGAACTTGACCTCTCCTGGACTCGGGCCTAGGGCGAAACCTCGAGCTTCTAAATTGGGGGCATATCATTTTGACCGTATACAGATAGTCCTCGCGTTTCTTAGAATAAGATGATAAGAAATGATTTACACCTCGATTTCCCTGAGCTTCTTATGATGATCTCATGCCCATGACGTAGGTGCTTGAAATGACCGAAAATGTCACGTCGGCGCTCTTCCCCAAAAATTCAAATGCGTGTCAGTGTTGGTCGGCCGCTAGCGCTGCCGAACTGCCGTCGCCTTTCTATAAATATGAGGCTATTCTGTTGAACAAAAACTGTACGCATTTCTTCATCATTCGTTCTGATTCTTTCTTTTCATTATTTCTTTCCCTATGGTCCGCAGCTGCGATCATAAGGTCACATGGCAGCAACTTTACCAGTTACGCCAAGGCTCCCCTTTTCAAATATTCGATTCGAAACAATGAGAGAAAGGCGTAGAAACCTTCCCGCATCAGGAAATATGCGAACTTCATCCTGCCTCTCATCTCTTTTAACTTCAACCTGGTGTGGCACTTCATTCCCTTGGTGCTTACGTCTTAGTTTTGAAACAAAAAGTGCAGAATCTTCACATACTCCAACCCAATCCCCATTTAGGAGTACCTTTTACTTTCTGTGGAGTGAGGCAGCACTACCATCTACTAACTTTTGCATCCCTCATCGGCGCAACGTCCCTAGGATGAACATTCTTGGATCGTGGCTCGTGCATCCTATAACCCTTTTGGTTTTTCTTGTGATAGAAGGCGAAGCTACACCTTCTTGTCTTCCCTTCTGGTCTTTTTCTTTTGCTGCTCTTTTTTAACGGAGTATGGTTCAAAATTTTAACAGCATGTTCATTCCCCGCTGCTGGAAATATAGTTACATTTATCGAAGGCTCTCTGCCCCAAATATCTTTGGGCACAAAGACACTTCCAAAGATCAACATGGGTCCCCAGAAAGGAGGCTCTCGAAGGTGATGCTCCCGAGGATGCGACCTCAAAAGTAGATTAGGTTCTTGGCCTTTGTTTTTTGCTTCCTTGTTCCTGTATAAGTACCCTTCATGGGTGTTGTAGTTATATTTTATAACCATTTCTTGGAAATATAAAGGATCCCTTTGTCTTCCTTTTGGCTCGTGTTGAATTCCGTTCTGTCTTTACTTGTGAAAATATGATTGTACAACTTTAATGACTAGTCCAAATACCGGACTCAGGACACAATAAACCCTTAGGTTTTTAATCGATCAATTATACCCCTTAAGTGTTACACCCCGCAATATTACAATGATGTTACGTCCTGCAGTATTATATTACGATGATGTTACGCCTTGAAGTATTACATTATGATGATGCTACGCTTCGCAGTATTAAATTACGACGATGTTGCACCCTGTAGTATTGTACGTTGAATTTTTCATAAGGTAATTGACGTCAGTCCGGGGAAAAGATTATTTGGAGATTATAAGGATTATGCTATTTCAAACAAGTAATGAGTAAATTCGTGAAGGTGAGAGGGGAAGCAAGTCAAAGAAAATAAATTTTCGTCCAAGTTTGGCATGTTGGGATAAAATACGGGCCGAGCGTTAATACCCAATGTTTATGGACTAGTACCATATAAGGTACCACATGGCCATGATAGTATGATGTATAAGGTATGTAAGGTTTGTTAAAAGTAAGTATTATTTCAAGTAAGTTAAGACAATTTTTAATTATGCGGGTAATTGATTAATTACCGGGTAGTGGGATATTACCTAATTAAATTATTCAATAACTTTGGATAAGTATCAAAGTAAAAAAAAAACGTGGCAGCAACATACTTATTGAGAAAATGACT